CGCGAGATCATGACCTGAGCCGAAGTCGGACGCTTAAGCAACTGCACCACTCAGGTGCCCCAACATTGGCCTTTTTGAAGGAAATAATACTCCTCTAGAAGATAAGTTAACAAGTCAAAAATCAAGAAACTTGGCTGTGGGGCGCCTGGGTGGCTCAGTGGGTTAAGCATCCGACTTTATCTCAGGTCATGATCTCACGGTGGTTTGGTTCGTGAGTTTGAGCCCCGCCTCGGGCTCTGTGCTGCCAGCTCGGAGCCTGGAGCCTGCTTCAGAGTCTGTGTCTCCCTCTCTCTCTGCCCCTCCCTCGCTCATGCTCTGTCTCTCAAAAATAAATAAACATTAAAAAAATTGTTTTTTTTAAAAAAAAGGAAGAAAGTTTACTCATGTTTTGCCTCCCCCCGTGCCGGGAAAAGTCTAGTCAGAACAGAAACGTGTGCCGTGCGAGGATGCTCCCCAAAGCGCTGGCTCTCCTTGCGCTGACTGGGGCCCCAGGACACTGACAAAGACTCTTTTAAAAAGCTGGCATCTGACTTCGCAGTGCATAAGCCCCAATTACTGTTGTCTCTCCCCAGATTCAGTCCCTGTCAGGGCGCCCTCGGTCCTGTGATGTTGGAAGCGGCAGGTAAGTGACGTCCTGCCCGTTCACGGCTCCGAGACCGTACCGTAGGTTCTCCCGGAAGGAGAGCCTCGTTGCTTTGTCACAAAACCCTGGGAAACTTCACTTACCATGTGTAAATGGGAGGTCCACTGAATTTTTTTTTTTAGGAACAGCAGCCCCCTTTGGCACTCGCGTTTCGTTTGTTTAAAGTCATCAAGTTGCGTAACTGCAGTAACAAGTAAAACCGCCCTAGATGCGCCCGAGAGTAACAGCCGAGCGTTGGTCAGTACCCGGCTCCGCTGTAGAAGCAGAAGCCGAAGGCCCGTGGCATCGGGGACCGTGGCCAGGGAGGGCGACAGCGTCCGTCAGCCTGGGGGCTTCCTTGCGCAGAAGGCGATTGAGAGTGTGTCCCCGAGCACCCTTCGTGCCACTGAAATACACGATTACGAGTGATACGTTTCACGTGAGGTACATTTTACCACGATTTAAAAAACTAAGCGGAAGATGAACACGTAGGAGAAATTTGCAACTACGAAAAGAGTGTTTTTGAAACCACTGATTCGCTGGTGCGTTTAGGGGCGTACAGCTTTCCTCCCTAAAAGATTTGAGACAGCTCTCAAAAATAGGTATGGTACCAACATTAATGCAGGAAGTTCATGAGGAAATCGGGGCTGCGGACGAGCGGGGAGCTGGGAGGGATAACGAAGCCCCCACGTCAACAGGCGCCCCTCGAACTGGCCCGCGAGATGGGGTACAGGGTGCACACCGACGGAGCCCTGGGGGCCCGAGGGGCAGGGTCCTCACAGGGCCCCCCCAGGGCTGTCCCACCGCTTCGAACCAAAATCAGCTGAGAAGCAGCGACTCTTTCCGGGTCTCGAAATAATGTGCTGTGAAAACGGGGCCCTTGCATGATCTACCTGAGGACGAGCACACATTTCAGAGTCTGTGGACGGAGTTAATCGACCTCAGGCCGTCGTTGCGTGTTATTTCCCCAACAGAGCTTTCTATGTGTTTTTCACGGCAGTTCGTTCAGGGAACTCCCTACGGAGTCCCCGGAGTGCGGACTTTATTTCTTTCTCCCCTTTTCTTTTTTGGCTAACCCTAAACTCGTGCACTTAACAGTCCACCGAGCTGAGCTGAGGATTGACCTTCTCTTCAAAAAGTCAAAAAGCCTGGCAGGACGCATACCCGGACGGAAGACCAGCACACCTGGGGCGCAGGACGTCCCCGCAGATAGGGGGCGATGTGGTTTTTATGGAAAGGGCTAAGATTTTCTTCAAGAACCAGTTTTGGCTCACCCCTCAGACAACTGAGGGATCAAGCCTCCAAAGGCCCGCGTTCCGGAACGAGGCTGCGAATTGTTGGCCGCCTCCCCTCCCCCCCCACCAGAGCTTTAGAGCTGGCGTTTCGCAGATAAAGAGTGTTGTTTTCTTGCTCTTGTGTTAGAGGCGGGGTTCTATTCAGTGACTCTTAGTCATTCAAGTATTTATTGGCCCCCTAATTGTAGGTGCTGGGGTAGAGCAGTGAACAAAGCACATCAAGTCCCTGCTTCTCAAGGAGCCGATGCTCTAGAGGAGACAGACGGGCAGGGACAGTTAGGCAGATAAATATGCCATGTGTTGGTAGGCGCCAGGAGGAAGAAGGCAAAGGCAGATCGGCAAGCCCCTTCTTGGCTGAGATGCTGTGTGACCCCAACCTGGGAGGAGCCGAAGGGGGACGTGTTCCAGGCGGAGGGGACAGCAAGCCAGAGACCCTGAGGCAGGCGTGTGTGCCTGGAGAATGCGGAGGCTGGCGTAGCTTGCGTGGGACTTGAAGTCAGAGTGGAATCATCAGAGGGTTTTGAACTAGGGATACTGTCACATGCCTCATATCAGATTCAGGAGAGAACTCGGGCCGGGAGTAAGTGTATTTGGAAAGTTACGGCTTGTATTTCTCTCAGCCAGAGAGAAACTGTTTTGAATGTCACCAATGACCTGCTTCACACTGGCCAGTGATTTTCCCCATCCCTGTTACGAGCCGTGGGACCCTGCCTTCCGCCCTTCCTCCCACTGCAGTCCCTCCCCACCCACCCCCACCCCATGGGTCTCTCTTCTCTCAGCCCGAGAGCC